GGTTGAGTTGGGTTGGGTTGGGTTGAGTTGGGTTGGGTTGGTTGAGTTGGGTTGGTTGAGTTGGGTTGGGTTGGGTTGGGTTGGTTGAGTTGAGCTGGGTTTGGTTGAGTTGGGTTGAGTTGAGTTGGGTTGAGTTGGGTTGAGTTGGGTTTTTTTGGAGATATTCCCAAAAATTGCTGAAAATCCCAAATTTTCCCTAAAAGAACCTTGATTTTAAGGGTTTAGCACCTCAAAATTCCCAGAAATCCCTTTTTTCCTACCAAAACCACCGTGAAGGGTCATCCAGTTGACCAATGGCCATCACCAATGGTCATTTTGGGTGGAAACCTCAAAAAATCATCAAGAAAGATCTTCCAGTTGACCACTGGCCATCATCAATGGTCATTTTGGGTGAAAACCACTCAAAACCATGATCAAAGGTCATCCAGTTGACCACTGACCATCTCCAGTGGTCATTTTGGGTGGAAACCACCCCAAACCGCCATCAAAGTTCACCCAGTTGACCCCGCCCCGCAGATGACCAACCCCTGAGCGCCAGCGACATCCGGGTGGAGACGGCGGCGCCGCTCTTCGCCGACATCTTCCGGGACCAGGCGGCGCGGCTGACGTGCCGCGTCTCCAACCTGGCGGCCGGCGGAGAGGGCCTGGAGGTCACGTGGCTCAACGAGGACGGGGAAGCTCTGGCCACCAAGATGGCGGCGCCGGCGCTGCAGCCCAACGGGCTGCTGGCGGCCGAGGGCGTGGCCACGGTCAGCGTCGAGGCCTGGGAGTCCGGCCAGGTCTTCACGTGCCGCGTGACCCACCCCGAGCTGCTCTTCCCCAGGGAGGTGACCATGAGGAAGAGCACGGGTGAGTTCCGGAAGTGGGAAACGGGGATTCAAGATGGCCGAAGGTTGGGGTGGGAATACCAAGATGGCGGAAGGTTGGGGTTGGAATTCAAGATGGCCGAAGGTTGGGGTCAGTGGGAATCCAAGATGGCCGAAGGTTGGGGTTGGAATCCAAGATGGCGGAAGGTTGGGGTCAGTGGGAATCCAAGATGGCCGAAGGTTGGGGTTGGAATCCAAGATGGCGGAAAGTGGGCGGGGTTTGGGATCCAAGATGGCCGAAAGTTGGGGTTGGAATCCAAGGGTTTCCCCTCCCCAAAACCCCCAAATTTTCACCCCAAAAATCCCAAAATCCCCCAATTTTCCCCCAAATCCCTCAAATTATCCCCAAATCCCCCCAAATTTCACCCCAAAAATCC